CGTGAATATAATCAGATGCTTGGGGAGTATCAAATGGGGTGCGCATAGAAACTGCCTGTTGGATCTACATAAAGCAACAATAATGCCAAAGCTAGAGTATGGCTGCCTTACTTTTGAAGGAGCAAGGAAAACAACACTTCACGCTCTAAATTCGGTACATTACCAGGGTGTAAAAGCACAAATAAGAATGAGGACAAGAATATTGAACTAGATCGCCAATGTCAACAACAGATATTACTATACCTGAGTTATACACCCAAACATACCACACATCTGCACCATGGACACTCATACCAATAAAAATGCACTTAGAATGCACGAGACATGGGAAGGAAAATACTAATGCGACCTTCATCGTCAAATTTTCCTAGAGACGTCCAACAGATACCCTGATGCAATACATATACATATACACTGATGGCTCCAAAATAGAACATAATGTCGGTTGTGCAATCGCTGTTAAAGACAGGATATACAGTTGGAAACTACATCCCACAACATCTATATTCACGTCAGAGCTCTATGCTATTTGGCAAACCCTCCGATACATTGAGTACCAGCAAAATAACGTATTCCTGATCTGCTGTGACTCTCTAAGTGCTCTACAGACCATACATCAAAAATTCACCTATGATCCTTTGGCACAACAAATTCAAGAAACCTACCAATGGCTCACTGACCGAGGTAAAGATGATACATTCATATGGGTTCCAAGCCACATAGGTATAACAGGAAATGATAGGGCGGCCAAGCAGGCTACTAGCAACACAACTGTTGATGAGATACCTTCACGGCTAGATGACGTTAAAACTTATATAAACCGAACGCTTTTGTCATCATGGCAAAACGAAAGAGGCAATGCTCAGTACATTCAGCAGTTACCTGGTGGGCTTACAAGAAGAGAACAGATCGTACTAGCCAGACTACGCATAGGTCATACAAACATTACTCACAGCCATATCCTGCTAGGCTCCAGGGTTACTAGATGCCCCACGTGTGAGAGCCCGCTGTCAGTTAGCCACATCTTGTTAGACTGTCCAACACACGCACCTACAAGGCGTCGATTTCAAATCCCTGATAACCTACACGACTGCTTCAGAGAGGTCCATAACAAAAATATACTTGGATATGTAAAATCAATAGACATGTTCTGGAAAATATGAAAAAAACATTACGGTAAAAATACAAGATGCAAAAGCAGAGGCATTATATATACCAACGCCAATTCATTCTGCCAAACCCTGGCCTTTTCCTTCCCCCTTTCCCCCATCGTTTCTCCAACACGCCACTTTGGTGCGGCGGTCAGTCTAGAGGGGCGGCCGCGCCTAGCCCAGCGTCGGTCAATCGTTTGTGCCATCCCGTCAGAGGGCTGGTTGGCCTCCACAGTTAGTAGAAACCAGACGGGAATAGTTCGCTATGCTCGATGTATGGTGGAACTACCTGTGGGGACTATACCTTGCTTTCCTTCGGAATAGCAGTATCCCTGGGGTTATGCCTTAGCGGGATGCTATTATGGGCATAACTTCCCAATGAGGCTCCGTGGAGGGTGGGGAGCCGGGAAGGTGAAATTTTTGGAAAATCTTATGGAACAGCCTAAACAAGATTCAGGTGCACCCACCACCTCCAAAATGGGCAGTGATCGGAATTCACTCGCAAAAACCCAAAACACCCGTAAAACTGGGATTTCAACCGCGTCAGCGGCCAAGATCAGCCAGGGAAAGGAGGAAAGCATCATCGGGTTCCTGGTGGTCAAAAAAATCGATGGGGGCAACTTCGATAAGGTTAGCCCCTTCTTGCTGTCGAAATTGTTATTAGGAATTGTTGGCGAATTGAAATCAATTAAGAAAATTAAGTCCGGATTATTAGTGGAAACTGTTACCGCTCATCAAGCGTCTAGACTCCTTAAAGTGACTAAAATATGCAAATTCATTGTTGAAATAAAACCACATAGTACACTCAATTACTCAAAGGGTATAATCAGATGTGCAGATTTTCTTAACAGTTCTACCGAAGAAACATTGGAGGGTTTAGAACCAGAAGGTGTGGTCGAAGTCAAACGTTTGATGCGCAAACAAAGTGGACTCACTTGTCGAAACGTCAAACTTATTAATGACTTTTGACAAACCTAAGCTACCCTCAAAAGTTAAAGCTGCCTTTTACTCTCTCGAAGTGCGTCCTTATTTCCCAAACCCTCTCAGATGTTTTAAATGCCAGAGGTTCGGGCACACTTCACAAAGATGCTCAAATTCTGAGATATGTACATGATACAATACCTTGCGACACACCTATGCATTGCGTTAATTGTGAAGGTCAACACGCAGCCAATTCAAGAGCTTGCCGTAAGATGAAGGAGGAAATAGCGATTCAAATTTCAAAATTAGGACTATGGAAAAACTGAGCTATCTAGAAGCAAAGAAAAAAGTAATCAGGCCCATTCCTCAAAAATCCTACTCCAAAATTGCGGCGACCACAAGTACGTCAATTAATAATGTAATACAAAAGTTATTACCGCAATTAACTAAGTCTATTGAGAGTAAAATAAAAGAAACCCTGTATAACATAATCAGTAGCAAGGAGTATAAATTTAATTCTAATTCCTTCTTACCTCCCGGTCAATATTTTTCTGACACATCAACGCAACCTTCAGTAGACGCAAAAAGGAAGCGTACCAGAACCCGAACAAGGAACGATGATACCGATGAAAGTGTATCATCACATATCGGTGAAGCATCAACTTCTTCCAAAAAGAAAAGAGGCTGGCCAAAAGGGAAACCCAGGAGGCCTCCCAACTCCGCAAGAAGTGATCAAGAAACTGAAGCCAGTCAAACTACTGACCTTACCATTAAGATATAGCCTCCTGTGATATTCTACATAAATCTGTATTTTAATAGACAGGGTGGCGCATCGAAAACGAAACAAGACACATTTACTAGCAGCTCAGTTTTTTTTTAAAAACACTCAGACCCGTCGATTTTGTTTCCAAGGGGGAGACAAGTTTGGCAAAAAATCACGTTAGCACGTGCAGCCCCCTAAGCGGGGGTGACACCACCCCCAAAATTTTAAATGGAAAGGGGGGTCGAGTGATACCTTATTTTAAAGGTCTTTCAATTCCCTTTATAGTGATATAAAATTAATGTACTTCAGTTCAGTAGTTTTGAAGATTTATTGACTTAAAGCTTACCTAAATAAAACTAATACATCATAATTAATGAAGATCAATACATTTGGCAGCAAAGTAATTTAAAAATGAAGAATGAATTGACCCGTTAGGCAAGTAAATGTACAAAATGGCCATCATGACTCTCCATGCAATAATAAAGATTTTGCTTAAAACGTTGCCGCACATTTTGCAATATTTGAGGAGTAATTTGAAGGCACTCATTCCCAATTCTTTGTCGCAGGTCTTCTAATGATGTTGGCTGAGTAGCATAGATTTTTCTTTTAAATGACCCCACATAAATAAATCCAAAGGTGATATATATGGCGATCTTGGGGGCAATTCAATGGCACATCTTCTACCAATCCATCGATCTGGAAACGTCTGATTTAAATATTGTCGAACACGTAATGCGTAATGTGGTGGGGCACCACCCTGTTGGAACATCAACCTATTCGCAATGTACCGCCGATCATTCTGATTTTCAATTATGACTGATAATGCAGGATCTATGGCGTCTTCCAGTAATTCCAAATACATTTCACCGTTCCAATTTCCAGGTAAGAAAAAAGGACCAACTAAATGATTGCCAAAAATACCAGCCCAAACATTTAATTTTTGAGGCTGCTGTGTATGAACCTCATGATAAATTCTGGGATTAGAATCGGACCAATATCGGCAGTTTATGACATTCGTCGGAAAAGCAAGTGTTGAATAGAAAATGTTCATCGTTTATAATTCGCTCACTCATATCTTCACAAAATTGTAATCGAATATTAAAATCGTCTTCATTAAGTTCTTGTACCAGGTGAATTTTATACGGATGAAAACTATGGGCCTTTAGAATCCGTTGGACAGTACGTCGACAAACACCACACACAGTCTCCAATTTGCGGGTACTTAACGTACGATCTACATAAACTTTCTCTAAAACCCCCACTTCTATTGCTTTGTTCCTTATGGGATTTTCAATGTCGCGTTTTTTATTGGCGACTGACCCAGTTTCCCGAAATTTAGCTACAAGTTCTACAACATATTTTCGATGCACGTTACTGTTCTCATGTCGCTCATTAAATATTTCTGCTGTTCTATCAGCTCACTGATTATTTCCGAAAAATATTTCGATAATTTCAACTCTTTTTGCTGTGAAATATACCACGGTTAATTTATGTAATAAAGCGTTACAAGTTATTTTAGCAACAAAGTTTGGTCAAATCAATCGCAAACTATGTACTAAATTCCTATTTAAAATAAGTACGAGATATTTCCTTATCTTTCTTCAAGAAATAACTTTTTTGCCACAAAAAAAAAACGCTCCAATAGCTATTTTCAACAACAAAATGATAAACAAACCATGGGCGTAGTGAAGAAAAGCATTTACTTATTAAGTAAACTGTACCTATTAAAGTCTACTTTAAGTTTTAAATAAATAAATCTTCAAAACTACTGAACTGAAGTACATTAATTTTATATCACTATAAAGGGAATTGAAAGACCTTTAAAATAAGGTATCACTCGACCCCCCTTTCCATTTAAGATTTTAGGGTTGGTGTCACCCCGTTACCACCGAGAGTTCAAGGCCAAAAAACTGGGCTCTGAAAAGCCTGTGACGTCACGCAGAGTAGGTCTATGCATGTTCTTATGACTGACTGGCAAGAGAACCGCGCCACCATTTCTCTGAGGTGTTGTCATATCTAGGTTTGATATAGCAGTATCGAAATCTCTACTAATTAGTTGTACCTCTCTGTGGGCGAATTTGCAAGATGTACTCGGGCCTGCGCAGCTTCAGTGATGATGAGATTATTCTTTCTGATCTGCCTCAGTATGTCAAGAATACATTTTCGATATTACGTTCAATCTGTCACTTGTGAAGTCTAATATTCCATTCAAAATTGGAAGATGTGGCAACCTTGCCAACTAACCTCACATTCTGAGCCTCATCTTTGAATGGTCAATGCTATGTAAACGGAAAATTATTGATGTTTTAAACTTATATTTGTGTGTTCCTAATTGGGTCGGTAATTACGGGAAGGGTCCGAAGGTACACGTATTTTCGTTTCCATTGAACGAAAACTGTCGTAAAAGATGGCTCAATGCAATCCCTCGTAGTGATTTAGTGGTTACAAAATACACCCGAGTATGTAATTTGCACTTTGCTGAGGACAGCATCATTGGGGAATCCACCTTTCAGGACGAAAAGACAGGTAGGACCATTACTGTACCCCTTAAGTATCCAAAATTAAAGGCAGATGTAATTCCAAGTATCTTTGCAAATTGTCCAAAATACCTTTCAAAGGACATATCAAGCAGAAGAAGCCGAAATGAGAAATTGAGGGACAAGGAACAAGAACAACTACTTAAAGCACTGCAAACTAGCATTGATGATCATTCCTCCTAGCAAAATTCAACTTGTTTTCAAAATTATTCAGACTTTCTCACAGTTTTCAGTTCATGGCAATGTCCATATGGGTGGCATAAAATTGTTCAGGATAAAGTTACTTTGTTTGAGTTAGAATATAAACCAGCATCCATCATAATTCACTCTGTAATTGTTGATAAAGATCTCAATGTAAAAATGTATATGTACTCCCAAGAACTCAGGTAATATTAAAACTCCATTTTTATTATTTAATATTTGTTGTTCAAATCTGTCCTGTTTCTAAAATTGATCATGATCTATTATACAATATGACAAAAAAAACTTATTATTGGATTAGAAGAACTTGGTTATAAAATTTTTTGTGTTGTAAGTGATAATAATGCACTGAATAGTAAAGTGATGGCACATTTTTCTCCAGATAATAAAACAAGCATTGTTTATCCGCATCCGTTGGATAAAAAACGTCCCCTATTCTTCCTTTTTGATACAGTGCACCTTCTAAAATGTATCCTCAATAATTGGCTGAATTCAAAACCAGACCAAATTTTAACATACCCAGATTTTGAAACACATGAGGTAAATGTTGCTACATTTAAATCTCTGAAAACATTGTACCAAATGGAAAGTCATAAAATATTGAAAAATGGTTATGGTTTGACCCTAAAAGCTTTATATCCTACCAACCTTGAAAGACAAAATGTTCATTTAGCTCTCAAGATATTCAACCCATTTCTAATAGATGCAGTATCAAGGTTTGGTAAAAACATACAGCTCTCCGAAGAGACAGCAAAATTCATTGATACTATATGGAAGTGGTGAAGAATTGTCAATGTAAAAAGTCCATTGAAAGGAAAGCTGTTAAATGACCTTTATGCAGAGCCTATTGTTTGCTCAAACAGTGATGGACAATTTGATGACAGTAAGCTGACATTCTTACAAAAAATGCTAGATTGGCTAGAAGAGTGGAATGATCCAGCAAAATTTTCAAAAAGACTAACTAGTCAGACTTACACTGCACAACATCATACAGTATATGGCTTATTGGAATTAGTAAGGTACTGCAAATCTGAACTGCACAGTAATTATATATTGTTAGGTAAATTTCAAACTGACTCATTGGAAAATAGATTTGGTAAGTATCGTCAACTGGCAGGGAGTCAATATAATATATCAATTCGTCAGTTATATGAATCTAAGAAAAAGTTACGAACTCAAAGCCTGATGTCATTGAAGTCTCTTTATGGTGATATACAAATATATAAATTCTGTGAAAATGATGATTTAGAAATAGAGAAATTCCACACAATTTTAATGATTACCACTTTTTCCGGGAAATTGATATTTTACAGTCTTATATTGATAGTATAAAGGATGAAATCCCTGTCATCACCTACTTAGCTGGTTACTGTTGTTATGCCTTATTAAAGAAAAATCACTGCGATCATTGTAAGGAAAATTTGACACACGCAGATGATATTGATATAGAAGACAAGCACAATATTATACAAAATTTGAGTAGAGGTGGCATAAAATTCCCAAAGGATCCAATTATTAATATTGTCATTCACCAGATTATGTTATAAAACTAATTGTTATTTGCACAGTCAATACATTTTTGAAAAATTATTGTATTATTTGCTTTGCAAGCGCGAATAAAGCAAAGAAACATAAATTGACTACATTCACATGCGGCCGCATTATTTACATACCTGTAGATAAATGTGTATTTGTACATATTCAGAATTTAGCACTTTAATTTTCGTTATACTAATTTTTGTTATTTTTGATACTTGTTTTCTGTTTTCTAATTTTTGTTATTATTTTGTGCTGTTATTTGTTTGTTCTAAGAGTTTTTATTAAGTTTTCTTCAATCTTTGTTATGTTTTTTCTGTTGTTTATTTTACTTCGATTTTATCTGTTTTTCCTTTTTCCTCCTCATCTTCCTTATTCCTTTCCTGGCAAGAGCTTACCTCAGACCTCCTCGTTGGTTCTTGCTGGACACAACTGTTCTACAAGGACTACATTTCTTATATAACTTTCAAGTAGCATTATATTATACCTCTAATAATAGTAAGTTGTGTCCACATATTCCTGTGAAATTTTGTTGATCGGTTGTGACTAACATGGGGTTATTCATTGAAGAATTTATCATTTTTAGCAAGCTTTTATAACATCAACTTATTAATCTAATGTGCGCGTAATGTTGGATGAAATATCAGTGAAAATCAGGGTGAAAATAGTTAATAACTACTTTAATATTTTGTTGCCTTCACATACCAAAAACACTTTTCTAAATTATTTGTTATTTACATCAGGTAGAGTATATTAAATATGCTGCAATAATATATTATTCACTAGCGCTGATGAACGGCACGCCGTGCTGTCGGCCGGCCGACCGGCCTACTCGTGGTGACGTCACGCGTCTGTTGTTAGGCCTTGTACACTCGGTGGTAACGGTCACCCCCGCCCAGGGGGCTGCACGTATTAACGTGATTTTTTGCCAAACTTGTGACCCCCTCGAAAACAAAATAGACGGGTCTGAGCGTTTTTCCAAAAAAAAAACTGAGCTGCCAGTAAATGCGTCTGTTTCGTTTTCGATGCGCCACCCTGTATATTTACGTGCGTGTGTGCATGTGTGAGTACATCTGTTCTTATTTATACATATACTATAAATATATATATAATTAATTGTTAATTGGGAAATTGGCAAATTTTTAGGCTTAAGTTGACTCTTTTGACGATAAAATCAAATCAACGCATGGCTCATGAAATAAACAGACGGATATTTCTGATCAAGTGCAGGAAGAACAACATCCTACCACCACACATCAACCATCGCATAAAATCCATAAACAACATCATACAGAATAACCTTGAAGAAGACGGACTACAATCTCCTTTACAAAGGTTGGGTGAGAAAATACTTTCGCTTGAAATCTCTTCTTGTCATAAACAATTAAAAAAACTTCACTCATCCCTTGAACTTTTGAAAACAGAAATCATTTCACTCACGACCCTCTTAATTTTTAATAATTTTCAATCGAGACAATTAAGACATTATAATACATTGTTCCATTCTATCAAAAATTCGAATATACGCAAGTTTGACAGGTTACTAAGTGACACAATGAAAATTTTGCTCAATACTAAGCCAAACTGGGTAAAGAACCTCACTAATGTCAGCATTCCAGATGACATCGCAAGTTTTCTGTCGTTGGGTCCAAAATTTAGCGTTGAACCGGTTGTCAACAGTGATATTGCAATCAGACATATTCTGGCTGATGTTGATTCTATATCTTCTTCCATTAGTGATGACACAGAAAGGAACATTGCGATAACTCGTTCCACCAATATTATCACAAATTACTTTCACAACAGTAGCATTAACAAAAAACACTCTTTCTACCACAACCTGTTAAATAAAACAACGAAATCTATTAAGGATCATCCCGAGTTAACTGTTGCAAAATCAGACAAAGGCAATGTTACCGTAATTATGTTAAGACAACAATATTTTGACCTATGTAATAATTTGATTGATCTGGCTCTAAAATTATTGTATCCTCACCGAAATTTTCTCAATTTAGACATCAAAAGAATTCTTTGCGAAACCTCGGTTTTATCACAGTTTTCGTACTGTGTTCCAATTTATTCTGCATGTTTAGATTGTGATACATTCATGCGAATACAGAGAACACACAACTCATGCATACGTTTTATATATGGCATAAGAAAATTTGAAAGAGTTAGTCATAAGCTGAAAGAACTCCGGTGGCTAAATATGAAGGCTCGTTTTGAGATATTCACAATATGCTTTTATCATAAAATTTTAACTCTCAGGCAGCCTCATTACCTCTACGAGAGAATAACATTCAGAAAAGACATCCATTGCGTAACTTGTGTCCCCCTCGAAAACAAAATAGACGGGTCTGAGCGTTTTTCCAAAAAAAAAACTGAGCTGCCAGTAAATGCGTCTGTTTCGTTTTCGATGCGCCACCCTGTATATTTACGTGCGTGTGTGCATGTGTGAGTACATCTGTTCTTATTTATACATATACTATAAATATATATATATATATATATATATATATAATTAATTGTTAATTGGGAAATTGGCAAATTTTTAGGCTTAAGTTGACTCTTTTGACGATAAAATCAAATCAACGCATGGCTCATGAAATAAACAGACGGATATTTCTGATCAAGTGCAGGAAGAACAACATCCTACCACCACACATCAACCATCGCATAAAATCCATAAACAACATCATACAGAATAACCTTGAAGAAGACGGACTACAATCTCCTTTACAAAGGTTGGGTGAGAAAATACTTTCGCTTGAAATCTCTTCTTGTCATAAACAATTAAAAAAACTTCACTCATCCCTTGAACTTTTGAAAACAGAAATCATTTCACTCACGACCCTCTTAATTTTTTATAATTTTCAATCGAGACAATTAAGACATTATAATACATTGTTCCATTCTATCAAAAATTCGAATATACGCAAGTTTGACAGGTTACTAAGTGACACAATGAAAATTTTGCTCAATACTAAGCCAAACTGGGTAAAGAACCTCACTAATGTCAGCATTCCAGATGACATCGCAAGTTTTCTGTCGTTGGGTCCAAAATTTAGCGTTGAACCGGTTGTCAACAGTGATATTGCAATCACACATATTCTGGCTGATGTTGATTCTATATCTTCTTCCATTAGTGATGACACAGAAAGGAACATTGCGATAACTCGTTCCACCAATATTATCACAAATTACTTTCACAACAGTAGCATTAACAAAAAACACTCTTTCTACCACAACCTGTTAAATAAAACAACGAAATCTATTAAGGATCATCCCGAGTTAACTGTTACAAAATCAGACAAAGGCAATGTTACCGTAATTATGTTAAGACAACAATATTTTGACCTATGTAATAATTTGATTGATCTGGCTTTAAAATTATTGTATCCTCACCGAAATTTTCTCAATTTAGACATCAAAAGAATTCTTTGCGAAACTTCGGTTTTATCACAGTTTTCGTACTGTGTTCCAATTTATTCTGCATGTTTAGATTGTGATACATTCATGCGAATACAGAGAATACACAACTCATGCATACGTTTTATATATGGCATAAGAAAATTTGAAAGAGTTAGTCATAAGCTGAAAGAACTCCAGTG